TCGAACTTAATAAATTGCGTAGGGGCCAGTCGGTGGTGTGCAAAGGGCGGTGGCAGTTAACCAGCCAAAAGACTCGTGTTAAGAAATTAACGCTTTCCCATTTCCGTTATTCTGTGTTCCCTTTTGTGGGCCCCACTCCGGGGGGGGGGGGGGGGGGGGGGGCGGGGGCGTTGGGTTTTGGGCGTCATGAATTAGGGAAAATCTAACTTTCCTGGGCGAACAATGGGGTTTTATATGCGGGCGAATAAAACATCCACAATTTTTGAGCTCGTTGTGGTAAAAAAGAAACAGCCAGTCCCGCCTTTCAGTCTTCTCCCGTGTCCGTCGAAATTATGATCTTCGCCTCCTTGATTATCGACGTGCCATATCACGTCCGCCTTCAATTCCCTGACCCCGTGTAGCTAGAGATATCATCTCTTTTTGGCCGAAACAAAGGAAGATATTATTTCATTATTCCGGTCAAAGAACATTGATTTGTAATTTTTTTAAAAAGGGATATATTATTTCGTTCTCGCCCCACCCAACCACAAAAAAAAAAAGATATCAATTCGATCCATCAATTAAATTCTAAAATCAAATGCAAGGGAAATTTGAGGTGCTGGAAATAGGGTGAAGTGGTCATTCTTGATTAATTAACTTCTCAATTGTTTAATCTGCCGAAAACCCGTGCAGCATATGCCCAGTGATGAGACATTTGAATATCAGCAATGATTTGTAAAATTGAAGTTAATGGACTGTGCAAATCTCCTCACTCTATATGTTCTCTATGTCATCCTCATTGGGCGATGAAATGCAATCTCAAGTCCCATGCATCCAGTTCGATGCCATATTAGGTTGCATGACTTGTTCGATCTCGAAAAAAGTTTGAGAAACAGGTGGAAGCGACTTATTAATGAAAGGATCGCCATGCAACTGGACCAGAAAAGAAAAGGCATAACATGCAACCACCAAATAACTGTAACCGTTGGGTCAACTTCAGATCTCCATCTCAAGTAATAGTCAACAAAATTCAGTCGACCAAACCAAAGAAGTAATATAGTATTTACCAAAAAACAATTGTTTTTCTTTTTTTCCTTTTCCATCAACTGGATTAAATACTGCTTTTCAGATGACGCGGGATTTTTTTTTTATTGTTTTTTTTTGGGGGGGGGGGGATGAGAAACGACATGATTTCTTTTCCACGTTCCATTGATTGCCTAATTGATGTTAATTGATGTCAAGATATGATTGGTCCAAGATTCATATCTCTCACCTTCCAAAAGTTAAAAGATAATATATTAATTCACCCCAATGACGCAGTGGAAAAATATTCATTCCTTGATTTTTGTTTGCCATAATTGCCCTCAAAAGTCCTTTATAAGCAGGACCCTCACCACCCTCCACATTCATCACAGCCAACCCAAGAAATCCTCTTGCACATCAGTAAATTACTCAGGATCGCTTTCTAAGCTCTTGTTTGAAAACTTTCCTTTCTCCTTTTCACAGTTGAAAGATGGCACCTGATATCACCACCGCTGCTGCCAACGCCGCCGCCACACAGCCAAGACGACCGGCCGTGCATTTGTTACTTTTCTTGCAGGTGACGGTGACTACGTGAAGGGCGTGGTCGGCTTGGCCAAAGGTCTGAGGAGGCCCAGAGCATCTACCCGTTGGTGGTCGCATTTTGCCGGATGTTCCCGAGGAGCACCGCAAGATTCTGACCTCCCAAGGATGCATCGTGAAGGAGATCGAGCCCGTATACCCGCCGGAGAACCAAACCCAGTTTGCCATGGCCTACTATGTCATCAACTACTCCAAGCTTCGTATCTGGAATGTAAATACCTCTCTGTCCTCTATCTTTATGTCCCTTTTAACTTGTATTATATTGCATGTACCTTGTACCCTACTCTGCTCCCCTTGATTTCTCGGGTTACAGTATCCTACCCACTGATTCTTTCGGTTAAGATAACTTTTTCATCTCCGGGATTAAAATAATATCGATATCTTTTTGATTGAAAAATGGTTGCAGTTCGTGGAGTACAGCAAGATGATATACTGGACGGAGATATCCAAGTATTTGACAACATCGACCACCTTTTTGATCTCCCCAACAATTATTTCTATGCGGTGATGGACTGTTTCTGCGAGGAAACATGGAGCCAGTCTCCGCAGTACCGGATTGGTATTGCCAGCAGTGCCCTGATAAGGTGGCCTGGCCCGCCAGTATGGGACCTAAGCCACCGCTCTATTTCAACGCCGGGATGTTCGTTTTCGAGCCGAATGTTTCCACTTACAGTGACCTCCTCAAAACCCTCCAAGTCACTATGCCCACGTTGTTTGCTGAACAGGTAGTTCATTCCACCTGTCTTTTACGAACTGTAGTTTGGATATGGGATCGAATAGGTTTCAGAGGATTTATTATTAAGCTTTTTGCACGCAGGACTTTTTGAACATGTACTTCAAGGACAAATACAAGCCCTTATCCAATCAGTACAACCTCGTGCTGGCCATGCTGTGGCGTCACCCCGAGAACGTTCAGCTTGACGATGTCAAAGTGATTCACTACTGTGCTGCTGTGAGCACTGTTCTATTTCACTGAATAATTTGAATTTTATTATTTTATGTGGAGTTGTTCTGACGTACGGGGTCAATTGTAGGGGTCAAAACCGTGGAGGTTCACGGGAAAGGAAGTGAACATGGACAGGGAAGACATAAAGATGCTGGTGAAGAAGTGGTGGGAGATATACGAGGACGACGAGACACTGGACTATGAGAACACTGTGAATGTTGAGCGTATCAAGGGGGCGTTAACTGAGGCTGGTGGTCTTCAGTATGTTCCAGCTCCATCGGCAGCCTAGTCTGCTCTACTTTCTTGTGTACAGGAGTGGAGAGTCGTATTTTCCCCTGTTTTTTTGGCTTTCTTCTTAATTGGTGGAGTATGGATTCTGTAAAGAAGTCATACAGATGTTTAGGTTTTAATGGGTATGACCCTGATAGACCGCTTTTGTTGGTCCCTTTCCCTTTTTCAGCCATTGTTGGACTTCGGATATCCTTCATTTATAAAGGATATTTTTATTTTCGCTATCTGCGTGCCTTTTCAATGCTGTATAACTTGTCTCGCTAATTATAAAAATTTATAATTAGCAAAAGATTTGTTCATTAACGGTGTGTCTCTTAAATGAATGATCGGGGTTTTAACAGTTTATAACAGTGAAACGTGGAAGGTTAAAACAATAGATAAGAGGGTTCATACTGCCACCCCTCTAGGTCAACAACTCCTCCCCCCTGTTATTATATCTTGTGGCTGTCATTTGTCATGTAATTGCTTCTGACTCCGTTGATCATTTGCCGAGTCATAACGATTTGAATCCCATCTCGCCTGCTCCCAGATCTAATCTAATCCAAGCATTGATTGACAGAGTTTGAGGGACTTTGCATTTCAACCAATACTCAACAGAAACCGCAAATTAACAACGCAACCTCAACTCGGCGTTCCCATGGCTAACCTGCTATTACCTCCTGCAATTTCATTCTTGCGTTACGTTGCGATGTTGAGGCAAGAAAGAAGGATCTCAACGCCACATCCCAACTTTAATACTATTTAATTTAACTGCCCATCCATTGTCCCCAAACAAGCACCACCACACTTTATGGATTTGCTTTCCCTGGATAATGGTGCAAATTAAGCGTGTACTATGATATCCTTTTGTCCTAGACAAACTCAACCCGGTGTAAAAGTAATTTATCTTAAAGGTTGCAAACACCAATTAAGTCTGTATATGTTAAAAAACCCGTCGGAACATGCTTTTGCAACCTCTGTGATAAAGATACTCTTGTATTGTTTTGTGGTTTTGATCAGGACCTCCGTTTTCGAACAACATAATTGATAGTTAACTATTTCATAATATTAATTAAAACATTAAATTTTAAAAAATGTCAACATTTTTTAATTTATAATTTTATTAATACTCTATATAAAAATCTTGATAATAGTAATTAAAATTTTAATGTATAATTTTTTAAAAAAAAAATTAATAAATGAAATAGAGATATAATTAAAAAAATAAATAAAAGTTATTTAATGATATATATTTTATATTACTTAAATTTTTAAAAAAAGTCTTATATTATTTTGAAAGGAATATAAGCTAAACAAACACTCAACTCCTAAACCATTGTTGTCAATCGCTTTTCAAGTAGCCAAAGCGGGTATTTTTTCATTTCATGGCACGGGCATCTGAACTTGAACCACCTTTTATGAGTACATCCTATTCGCTTTTCAGTGATTCAATATATTTATATTCTGCAAATAAACTAAAAAGGAAAAACTGCAGGAGTTTTGTTGAATTGCAATCTAGAACGGAACATCAAAACCCAATCTCCTTTGATTTGCCCAGCCAACGTTAGCTTTCAGCAACCACCAAGAACGGTTAAACATCTGAACAAGAAAAATAAGTATTATTATATGTTATTTTGAATAGTCTTATGACCGTATCGTACTAGTATTAGTATATTACAAAAGTTTCAAGCTCTCTCTCTCTCTCTCTCTCTCTCTCTCTCTCTCTCTCTCACACACACACATAGCGGTATTCGCGGATGCATTTCCCCCCAACTTTTTTAACTTCTTAAACTATTTATTACATTGATTTTTAATTTCTTTAAAGAATATTCTTTCAATTTTATTTACAAGACACTTTTAATTAAATTATTTAGACTAAGAAAGGTGATTAAAATTAGTCAAGAGTCTTACTTTTTTAAAATTTTTTGTTGAAACCCCAAACTGCATTTAATTAAAATTATTAAATTTATCTTTAGATATCTGGGCCATTTTTGAAATAACTCATTAATATTTTATTAATTAAAATTTTTAAAAAAATATCCTTTATTAAAGTGAGGAGGGAATAATACAAAGAAATTAGAGAGAATGAGACAAAAAAGAGAGATAAAGTACAAGCGGGTTGGTTTTATTACTCACTTTTTCAACCGGCTAATCACTTGTTTTTTGGGGTCTGGTTTAAAACCTTACGTTGGTAGAGGGAAGGTAGGGAGTAGGGAGTCGGTTAGCTTGTGGTTAAAAGTCCCCTTGCATCATAACTGTGGATGTGGAGCGAGACTAACATCCTCTGAAAGAGGGGAAAAAAAAATCTAGAGAATGATTTCTGATGGCAATTCAGGGCCTACGATCGAGATCAATGATCTGAAATTCACATATCCTGGGATCGATGGCCATCCTCCTCCGGGTTTCCCCTCCTCTCATCCAAGATTTCTCTCTCACCCTCAATCCGGCTACCGCTGCCTTCTAGTCGGGTCTAATGGCGCTGGTTCGTTCTGCTTGTTCCCCTCATTCATCAATTAAATTATCATTTCTGGATTTCTAGGTGATGAGAGGCTGTATTATTTGAAGCTCGATCTATTGACATGCGTTTTACAGTCATTTAGCTGGCAACAGGCTTTCACTTCCTGGTTTCATAGCGCAGAGTGTGAAAGAAAGAAAAGAAAACCGGAATTTCGAGGAGTTCCGTCCTGATTTTTCACTTTCTTATCTGTTCTTAACTTCTTATCCCCCAACTCAGGTTATAATTGAAAGTCATGACTAATTAAATAATATGTTGTGTTCATTCTAAGTATGATTAACCTATAGGAAAGGGGAACTCGTTTCTGTATTAGATTCGGTTGTTTGCAGGATGGAACAAAGAAATTAAATTGGGAGAATATTATCTCCCTTTCATTTTATATTCTTAGCAGCAAAAGCTAAAGCAAGTTTTAATGAATAAACCTCAATCCTCACAGGTCGGTCTCCCAACATTGTCTCCATTTTCCGGTCCTCTATACTTACTGTCTTAGTTTATACTTGCATTTGTATCTTCAATATTAAGTCTGATTTATTTGCTGATGATAGTTGCTGTTTGATAGGCAAGACCACCATACTTAAGATCTTGGGAGGGAAGCACATGGTGCAACCAGGCATGGTTCGTGTGTACTTGGAAGATCAGCTTTTCACGACACCACTTTAGTATCTTCTGGTGATCTGTGTTATCTTGGTGGAGAGGTTGGTGCTATAATATCTCTTTCTTTGTCCTTTGTACTCCAAAAAAGGAGTTTGAAAACACCTTTAAGATTTATTATATACAAGGATGGGGATCAATCAACAATTGTGGGAGTGAACGAATTAATTACTGTGATATATATATTTTTTTCTTCCCTTTCGGATGCACACCTCACAATATCCATCTTTAAAGCTTAGTTTAGATTGCGCAGTTCCTTAGTCCACCAAGCCTTCTTCAAGAAATCATTACTGTCCAATATATATTATTTGGCATATAGATTCATAAATAAGTGCTTAATATCCTAAAAGAATTGATGGAAGCCATGTCCAACCAGAGCCCAACATTTGCTTTATCAACATTACATCTATTGTTTATTGTGGATCAGCAGTAACAGTCTAGAAACAGTCAGACTTTGAGAGGGAGAAAGAAGAAGAATTGTTAGATTATTATAACCCAGTCATTTCTTTTCAGTTTATTACTCATGCTTACTTAGATTATATGACTTTTTTCTTTTTCTTTTAACTATATTTTGGTCAGTGGAGACGAGATGTTGCTTTTGCAGGGTTTGAGGTTCCAATACAAAGGATGTTTCTGCAGAGAAAACTGATATTTGGGGTAGGTGGAATTGATCCTGGAAGAAGACTCCAAAAAAGGAGTTTGAAAAACACCTTTAAGATTTATATACTAAAGGATTTCTTTGGGGATCACTCAACAATTTGGGGAGTGAACGAATTAATCTGTGATCAACAATTTTTTTTCTTCCCTGAACGATGCAACCTCCATATACATATCCATCTTTTCCCTTCGGATGCACACCTCCAATTAGTTTAAAGCTTTTAGATTGTTCCTTAGTCCACCAAGCCCTTCTTCAAGAAATCATTACTGTCCAATATATATTATTTGGCATATAGATTCATATAATAAGTGCTTAATATCCTAAAAGAATTGATGGAAGCCATGTCCAACCAGAGCCCAACATTTGCTTTATCAACATTACATCTATTGTTTATTGTGGATCAGCAGTAACAGTCTAGAAACAGTCAGACTTTGAGAGGGAGAAAGAAGAAATTGTTAGATTATTATAACCCAGTCATTTCTTTTCAGTTTATTACTCATGCTTACTTAGATTATATGACTTTTTTCTTTTTTCTTTTAACTATATTTTGGTCAGTGGAGACGAGATGTTGCTTTTGCAGGGTTTGAGGTTCCAATACAAATGGATGTTTCTGCAGAGAAACTGATATTTGGGGTAGGTGGAATTGATCCTGGAAGAAGAGCAGAGCTAATCAAGGTAGGATGAATTTAATTAGCAATACTATTGACACTCATGCATGGTTGAATCTGTGCACTCGCTAACCTTTCTTCATGCAGATGCAACCCGTATTAGCTATCTTTGGCGCTGCTTTTTTTGTAATTTTCTAAATTTGACTATGAATTCTTTGATAATTATTGTCCTTCCACACATAAAGATAAAAATGACTTGTAGAAGAGTATAGAGAAGACAAATCAGTGGCTTGTTGTTTATTGAACAAGTGGCAGATTTGCATTAAAAAAAAAAAATTATCAGTTTTATGGCATTTTAATGTTCTTCAAAACCATTTTGGGACCTAGTTTAGGAATTTAAATAGGGAGAATGACACTTAGATCCCAAAATCTTAAATTAATGACGGTTAAGTCCCTGATAATTTTTTTTTTGAAAATAAGTCAAAAATATTGATCTAAATAATTGTAAATTCAGGAGTTTTACTTGCAAATAAATATTTAAGTATCAAATATAACTTTTAGATTGTAGCAGGAATTTTTCTTTGTAATTGTTGGGATGGATATTTGCAATTCATTTTTTAGAAAATTTTGTCGAGGATCTATATTATTTTTAAGTCATACTTTTGGGATCTAACTGTCATTTTCCCATTTAAATATTTGTAAGATAACTTTTTATAAATTTTGTGGAGATTGATGCATTGCAGTTGACTTCATAATTCAACTGGAAATTGATAACTGATACCGATACAAAATTAATTAGTCCAGCTGGATCGCATTGGATTCACGGTCAAATTGTCAATCGATATGTCCTGGCAATCTTTCCCCAGAATGAACCACAAGCACCTTCTAACTGACTCTGAGTTTGCCTGGCCTTTAGTACTGCTTTTTCAGTTTCATGAGGCGATAAAGATGTGGTTGTTCTAGTGACAAATTACACAGTTTTCTTTAAAACCGCAGGGTGTTGCTTATAAGCTCAGACTTGATCGTTCTAGTGACAAATTACAAAGTTTTCTTTGAAACCGCAGGGTGTTGCTTATAAGCCCAGAGTTGATCGTTCTAGTGACAAATTACAGAGTTTTCTTTAAACCCACAGGGTGTTGCTCATAAGCCCAGAGTTAATCGTTTGTCAGAGAATGATAATTCCTCCCTAAGAAAATGTCAGGCTGCAAGACATAAAAATAGACTTAATGGCGCATAAAAGGATCCCCCAATTCTGATATTGTATTTAGATGCTAAATTATTTTATTGTTATGCAAACTGGATTGAGCTCATCTCTGAAAAAGTCCCCCCCCCCCCCCAAAAAAAAAAAAACGCATGCACTGTCCTCTCTGGAAAACCATTGCCCAATTTTTCAACATGCCAGGTACTAGATATCAATCTCTCCTGGAGGATGCATAAAGTATCTGATGGTCAAAGAAGAAGAGTTCAAATTTGTATGGGTCTTCTCAAGCCATTCAAGGTGTGATCATAAAGCTCATGCTTTTTAAGGGAAACTCTTGTAGCAACTCCTTTTTCCAACGTGCTTGTTGAATTCATGACAAGCTGTATAGTTTGGGCATCATTGTACAATTATATAAAGTCGATCCTTGTTTTTCTAGGTTCTTCTTCTTGATGAGATTACAGTGGATCTTGATGTTCTAGCAAGGGCTGATCTTCTGAACTTTCTGCGGAAGGAATGTGAAGAGAGGGGTGCTACAATTATGTATGCAACGCATATATTTGACGGTCTTGAGAATTGGCCTACACACATAGTATGTCCAAAGTTCCATTTCTGAGTCTTTTTATGCTTATGATTTGACATGATACTTATTGATTTGGTTGTTTACAAGGTTTATGTAGCTCATGGGAAGCTGCAACTAGCAATGCCTATGGATAAAGTCAAAGACATTAGCAAATTGTCACTGATGGTTAGTTCCCCTCCCCCCTCTTTAAAGTTCGGTTAAATTTCTTTGGTCAATGTAGATTACCCAATGTTGAGTGAAATGAGCATTTATGAGCCGATGAACTTAATATAAAACGGGTGTGGATGTGGCGTGAAGAGCATGATCTAAACCAGACACTGATGGCAATTTCAGCCCCAAAAAAAAATGCATAAATAAATAATCTTGATGGCATGGTGTTGAATGTGCAGAGAACAGTTGAAAGTTGGCTGAGGAAAGAACGAGGTGAAGAGAGGAAGAGAAGGAAAGAGAGGAAGGCAAAAGGTCTTCCGGAATTTGAAAGGCAAGTTGAGGGAAGCCGAGTGGCAGGGGATCCAGCTCGACTCATGAATAATGGCTGGGCAGCAGGGCGACTGAATCCAACCGTTGCTGGCGAGGAGAACTTTCTCCTCAGCTCAAACAGAGTGCTGAGGCAATAGATATATTCCAGTTCCTTCTTCCTGTCTCCCATTGATATTTTCTTTTTCGCCCCCTCTACCTAAACGCTGCCGATGCCTTCTTCCATTTATAGTCGTATTATTACTTTGAACTTTGCGCACCGGCCCTGTTTGTTATACGGCTAAATGGGTCATGCTATTTATAATTTATGAATTGCACCTGTTCTTATAAACTTGTATGTGCTTACAAGTATTTCTCTCTTAAAAAATATAAAATATTGTTAATTGAATTCTATCCCCTGATAAAAGTAGTTTTTTTACTTTTAAATTAATTATTTCTTTTTATATTTATTTTTATTAAACATTCTTACAATAAATATAAAGTCATTCATCAATAGAGACACTTTAAAGAAAACAATGATTACATATTGAAAGATTAAAAATGTTTTATATTTTTAAATAAAAATAATAATATATGTATATATATATATCAAATATATTGATTTATTGACGTACGTGATGGAATTGAGACAATGACACCATTGTAAGAGTGCTACAGATGACATAATGCGTAGCCTGGCGTGCTTATCTTTATTCGTGTTTTGGCGCCCTCCTTGATTAGCTTGGAATGATGGGTGCAAAGCTTTAGGCTTCTATTTTGTTCGATTGTTTTCTCACTTCTTAATTAGTTATTATACATATAGTCACAATTTCCGTCAACAGCAAGTTATTCCACTGACAGCACCACTTCTTTTTCTTCTTTGAAAGAGATCTTGAACTGGATCTTAGCATTAACATGTTTGCACATTTGTTCAATTTAATTATAAATAAATTATATATACATACATATATATAGCTATGTTTTTCATTTCTACATCTCCCACGCTACATTTTTTTGGTTACATTCTCCCACATTATTATATTTCAACGAATTATCTCCCACATTTCAGTCGTTTTATCTTGTTTTGCATCAAAGGTAAAATGACTCGTTCCAATGACCTTGGGTTTTTACCTTTTTCTTTTTTTTGTTTGTGACGTTCGGCACACAAGGGTGGCTCTGAGATCTGTTCATGCATTCACAGAAACAACCATTATTTTTTAAGTTGAAAAAATGACTTGACAATATGCTCACTTCACTGTGTCAACTTCTAAGACAGCAAGGCTAGTGAAACGTATATGTAATTCATTCATTTATTCAGAATCTATAACAGACTGCTAGCACATGACATAACAATATAACAATTATCTAAATTGGGGGGGGGGATCACGCAGGAATAGAATTAGTGCCAATCAATGTGATGATACAAGCCCGAAGCCCACTGTGAAGTAAAGATTGCAGCATCCCATTAAACATGATTGCCTTTTAAGCCTGATACGCAAAATACGCAAATTAACCACATATTATATACAGGACAAGCATCTGAGTAAAGCCAGATGGAGAATTAAAACCTACCTTGTTCGCTATATTGTTGGAGAGCCAGTCCAGTCCCTCATAGAGTCCTTCCCCAGAAGTGGCACACGTGCTTTGGATATACCTGTCATGAAAACAAAAACCACACTCCAATCATCTGAATCAGTAAGGTATACAACACCACAAAACAAACGTGCTTTGACTGCTCAAGGCAGGTGGAGAATAAATGAAATGTGCATCAAAATACCAGTGACGCTGACGGAGAGAATGAAGACCAAGCTTGTCCGTGATTTCGGCAGCATTCATAGCATTTGGTAGATCTTGCTTGTTGGCAAATACAAGAAGTACTGCATCTCTCAACTCGTCCTGGGTGTTAAGAACATTTGTGAACATTATTTCACCAAGTGATGGGAGCAAATTGTGTTACTCCATAAAAAAAAAAAGTTCAAGTTTTATTTCCATCATTTATGGAGTTGGCCACCAATGAAAGGCTCCAACCAGAAAGATGATCTATTAACATGCTTGTAAAAAGTTACCACGCTATTTTGCACTTCATACGGTTCCAGAACCCAAAATGATATTTAATAAGATTCTGACTTCTGAGTTAATCAATTTCGTTATTCCAATAAAAGGATTTTTTCATGATTTTCTCTCTTTCTGATTTTTCCCTTTCTCTTCTCTATTCAATGAAATGATGTACACATAACCAAAATCCGTGGTACATCCCAAAACACAGCATTGAGAATCTTTTATTACCTCATTCAACATCCGGTGAAGTTCATCTCTAGCCTCAACAACACGATCACGATCATTGCTATCAACAACAAAGATAAGTCCTTGGGTGTTTTGGAAATAGTGTCTCCATAAAGGACGAATCTGTAGTCGCACCATACAAGAGAAAAATAGTGGGAAGAAGTTTATGGTCCATTGAGAATGTTAGAACCAAATGGTGGCATAACAAAATCATAAGTTGAACTAATAGACCCATTCAAGATAAGGTTGTAAAAGCTGCCGAGTACCAACCATCTAGAAAAAACTTCCAAGAGTAGCATAAACATCTCATGTTTTTTGTATAGTGTATAAATGAGTGAGCCTCCAATGAGCACAATATCAACTATAAGCACGAATTCCAACAAAAAACAGATGAATTGAACAAGTAAATGATTGAAGATTACAAATGATCATATGCTTGCTGCATGTTTAAAACAAACCTTCATGACCCCATAATGTCTCATGAAAGACAATAAGATTAGATGGCTACAATATAATAACAGAGCTTGTGTTGGTTGCCAGTAGAAGAGCCTCTAATTAGCAGAAAACCTAGGCCTGATGACGTGTATTAGAGTGCATATCACACAAGTTCACTCTTGTTTTAAAGAATTTTTTAAAGCACTCCACTGATGGGAGTAGAAAAAGTAAAGAATGATGGTCAATTAATAATTCAGATTATTACCAAAGTTGAAAGAGATCTCATTAAAAAAACTAACTACCAATATGATACAAGTAACAAACCTTGTCTTGGCCACCCACATCCCAAACGGTGAAGCTAATATTTTTATATTCCACAGTCTCTACATTAAACCCTGTACAGTAGTGAACATTCGCATCAATTACAATTGCAATTATTTATTAAATCATTAATACTTCAGCATGTAAAATTGGATCAGACCAAGCAAGCAAAGAACAGCAAGAAGCACTTGGGCATAAAATTCAAGAACATAGGCAAAATTAAACGTGCTAGAAATAAGAAAATAAGGAGCATACCAATGGTAGGAATGGTGGTCACGATCTCTCCCAGCTTGAGCTTGTATAAGATGGTAGTCTTACCAGCAGCATCGAGACCTACCATCAGAATACGCATCTCTTTCTTGGCAAAGAGACGGCTAAAAAGCTTACCGAAAGACAACCCCATCTCTTCTTTCAGCTGCACAATGGGAAGACTCAAAGGTCAATTACTTGCTGAAATCGAAGATTCATTCATCAATCAGTTCCTTGCTTTAACAAGTAAAATATCTCACGACCATTTTCTTCCCCAAGGGACCAGAAACAAGAAATTAATTCAAACCATGCAGCAACGAGGACAGCGACGCTTAAAGGATTCAGACAAAGTATTTTCGTGATAGACAAAAACCTCAGGAAGAAAACTATTCGCAATTCAGTTTCGCAGATTACGTTGAAATCTAGCAAACGCGCACCAAAGTCTCAACACCAATTAAATATTTAAACGTAAGTTGCCAAATTTTTCAGATCTGCTTGCATGAAATAATAAAATATAAAATCACAACCGCTTTTAAGATCTATCTCATGAATAAATCTTCATTTACAATTGGACATTCAATATGGGTTTACATAGAAAAGAATTCGTACAGAATGAATCCTTGCAAGGAAAAAAAAAAAAACCAAGAGATCTAAATGAGGCTCTCTTAGCACAACCATTCATTGGCTATCTAGACAAATGAACTCGGATCTGCATGTTTCGAACAAAAAGAAATTCTGATCTGAAGGAATAGAAAGAAAAAACTTGAATCTAAACATTATAGAAACGACTTACATGGAGAGAGATAACACGATCACTGATTTGAGTGCAGATCCAAATACACTAAGAGCAGAGCCCGTGGAGGCAGGAACGATCTCCTTGCATTTTTATAATGCACATGAGACGGAATCAAACAGGTTTCTGACGGCGTTAGTCTCCGTGAAAGAATTTGAGTGACGCGGTTGCAAGTTTATTGATCGTCACACTTTGTGTTTTTTTTTTTTTTTTTTGGTTTTTGGTGATATCAACTTTTTTTTAATTCATTTATTTTTCTACAGAATCGGATTCATTTTTTTGTAGCACTAGTGGGCCTAGACCCAATGACCACAAACAGGAGATCACCAAGATCCCTGATCTCCAGTAAATCGACAGACGCAAGGGCTCGACATAACTCGGGACTAATCCATTAAATTAAAAGGAATATGATCCTTTAGACTGTGAATCAAACGGCTTGGTCCCTGGCCCACGCTACAAGAGTTTGGATTTTGGGTTGGAGCCCAAGACCCAGCACCAAAAATAAGGTTGACTGTGAAAAATGTTTATTTTTGCGATTCATACAGTCCATAATTAAAAATTATATATATTTATTTCACTGAAAAAATTTTATGATAGTGTATATAAAATCTATAAAAAGTCATTCTATCCATATTTTTCAAAGCATGCCTTTATGATCTGAACATAAATTTCACGCCTCCATTAAATTGAATTTGAAGATCTATTTTGTTGGGTGGAAATTAAAGTTTATCGAACCCTAAATTTGATTATTTGAGAGGATCATGCAAGTAGATGGACTGACTCAACACACACATCAAGCATTCGGCTCGTGGGTTTGACAATCAAATTCAGCTATCATGTTTTTCACATGTTGGAACTGACTTATAATTCATTCGGATAGAATTCAAGCAAGTATGCAACGGCGGTGGGATCAAATTGAGAATGGAATATTACTGTTTTGGAATAATCTCTCCACCCCAGAATACATGAACCGAAATATATTCTGCTATGCAGTGCCGCTTCTCAACAATGAATAATCCCTGCCTCTAACTCGCAGCGAACTCATTATTCCCGTTTGAAGACACCACTAAGGAATGCAATTCCGAGTCGTTATTCTTCGCCTCTTTCCCCTTCTTCTCCACCGCTGCTTCTATATCTTCGTTCTCCTCTTTCTTGGCGATCTCCGTGTTCTTCCCCCACAAAACAGAGTAGAGTCCCAAGACTATGAGCAGCGACCCTATAACACTGAACCAAATATAGAACCCGGATCAAAATCCAAATATTTATGTACGGTCAGTAATTATTAGTTAATTGAAGCGGAAAACGCATATTGCATTTCATACGTTCCGACGTATATTTCCTCGCGAAGCAGAGCCCAGCTGATAAAAGCAGTGATGACGAGCTGCAAGGGGGTGAACACGGACACATAAAGAGGACCTTTCCTCTCAATAGTCCACGACATGAGCCCATACGCTACTCCAGTGCAAATAACTCCCTGGAAACCAAAACATGTTGCCACATTAATTAATTGATTAATCGAGAAATGAAAGTAGAAGTGGTTTATAGAATGTTGGTGGTAGCAAACCGAATAAAGAGCAGAAATGACTCGGATGGGATTGGCGAGAGACCAAGCTGAGGTGCTGTGATCAAAGCACAAAGCAATGACCACGCACTGGAAGCTTGCCAAGAAGCACATGTAGGTCGTGCTCGTATACGGAGCTGCGAAAATTTTTCCCAGGTCCGCCTGGCATATTTTTTCAAGAAAAGAAACGAGTAATAAATATGATTACTTTGCAGGGAGAAATGGTACTAGGAATTACTCAAGAGGTGCATGATGCTTTACTTGGACGATGAACCACACTGCCCAGACGAGAGCACTAGCAATTAAGAAGAAAGGGCCAAGAAACGTGTTGTCACTGACAAAGGAGTTTGTTGCTCCCATTCTCTCTGCATATTCCCAGTGAATATTCGATTCACCGATGTCAATGGCATTTCCGTGGTAGAATGACAATACCAAGGCTCCACCCACACACAATACAGTCCCTGCTATCTTCGCTTGCCCACTCCATGCCCTTATTCTCAGGTACTCTTGCCTGCCAGCACATCAGACCACAAATAAAATTATTGATTCTTAAATATTCAAAAATGCTAAGTGTACTAGAATTCTTAAAATATAGTTGCATATATACATATATAGTATACGCACCTGAAAACAAGCGCAAGGATGAAGGTGAAAGCCGGGAGCATATTTGTCATTGCGCATGCTATTGTAGTGGTTGAATATTTCAGCCCCAGGAAGAAAAATACTTGGTTTCCTGTTACTCTGCATCATTTCAACATCAAACTCGCTTATTTTAGGGATAGGAAAACACTACACCGCACAAACAGACGGATATGCACGTACATGCACGCAACCCCTTTTCAAGTTCCTCCATTTCTAACTTTTTTTTTTTTTTAAATTTCACCAAAAGAGTTTAATGACTTCTTGCCATCCATAAAAACATGACGAACACTTGTTGAGTTGAACATTCAGAACAGATAATACAAGACAGAACGTGTGAGCATGAAATATGCAGACCACAAGCTTACCCAGTTAAGGAAGAAAGCAATATCTGGAACATAATGGGTCTGGTCAACTTGGGGACCTTTTTGCTGCAAAGCATAACAAGAATCAAAATGAAAGTGGGATAAGCAAGGAATCTGGATCCAAATCAATTAACTTCCGGGTTTTCTTTCACAAGTAATGCCTTCACCATTTTTCATATAAAGAAAATAACTTTGAAGTACAACTCATTCAAAACTCATGTTTATAACAAACTGTAAAACTGGTACAAGCAATAACGTAGTAAAAGATACCCTCGCTGCCCTTCGGTCACTTGTTTTCCAAAACACGCATGAGGCCAACCCACCGTGCGCATTGTCACGGAGTGTATCACCCCATTATTAATTCTTATTACGAAAACTTAGTGAAAAGATTGGATTATGACATAATATAAGCAGAGTAGCAGTAATTGAAGTTTTGAAAGCCGGGGTAAGGTGTTTGATGTTGGTGCATGCATGTGTGATTTAGAAATAAGGTGACGAAGAATAGATAGATATAAATGAATGAAGACATGCATACCGTTCGAAGCAATAAGCAAAGGGAGCGATGGCAAGTGTGGCGAAGATTTGGCGATAAGCAGCAAGGACAATAGGGTTCATGCCAGATTGCATTGCAAGCTTTGAACTGATATTCATGCCCGAATATCCCAGCTGCACAAAAGCCATTGCCAGAAAAGGAATGAATCCACTTGCCATCTTCTCCCTCTAAGCTTAGTTTACTTCTCACTTCTCTCGTCTCCGTTGAGATGGAACACAGAATACGGAAGGGAGCCTGCTTTTATAGAATGTGAAATGCAATAGTGGTTTTTAGGTTCGGGAGAGGCACAAGGAAAAACGAGACAAGTTATGAGGAAAATCATGGGCATAGTGAATAACTGACGTTCGACGTGACGAGTTGATATTTGGATTCTTTCACAAGTTCTTTAAATTTGTTGTTACCGCGAAGGTTTTGTATACATGAAGTATTTTCTCAAGAGATTTAAAAATAAATCAATTCATCAGATCTTCCGAAATAAACAAAAAAAAAACTTTTTTTAAGAAAGGAAAACGAGTAAATAAACAAATTCAGTTCAGATTTCCTACATTTTTATTTGCGAGATAGTTTACACTACCATCTATTTAGTTAAAATATTTAAATGTCAAAATAGATTCAAAAGTATACATTGTAAGCTTGTAATGTAACGTTCTCAATACTCACCGTTCATAAATTAAAGTGGAACCGAGCATTTATAGCCATCAGAGCTTGCGCAACTGTATTATTTTTTGTATACTCAACATCCTCTTTTCGTTCAAAATAAAAGACATGAGTTTTTTTAAAAAAAGTCTTAATAAATAAATTATTTTATCATTCACTTTTAATTAAGACACTCTGTAAAATAAGAGTATATCATGGAAAAAATGGTAAACTAACACCATTTTTTTTTTGAAATAGTAGAATATACAAACATATCTAATGTCTTATACTTTTTGAAATGGTAGAGTATGCTAACATATCAAATGATACTGCCTCTATTCTTATATATAAGAACTATTTTAAATTATTTTTTATTCTTAAATATGAGAGATTGTTAGTATTTATTTAATGAATGAACTATTATATTTTTATTAAATTGAAAAGAAAATCTCATTAATTTACTTTAAAAAAAAATTATTTTAATTTTAAAATTAAAATATTATTGTGCTTTTAATTAGATAATTAATTTTTATTGATTTGTGTGATTAATTAAAAATATTTTATATATAGAGATGGAGGGAGTAAATGATGATTAAAGAATTCTAACGCGCAGGTGAAACCATTTATAAATTGTTAGCGGCCAGGGCTTAGCAGCTTCCATACGGAGTCTGTTTTGCTGTTGGCCGAGTATTAAGGAATGGGTTTGAACTGAAGAAAAAAGCATTGATTACAAATCGGTAGTTAGCAAAGCATTTAATATAAAATGGGGAAAGGGAAGAGGCCATGTCAGCAAGAAGCCAAGAACGATGGAGTAAATGGGAGAAGCCCATAGGTGGGTACACGTAAAGAGGATGCATGCGGCGGCATCTTCCACACATATCTTTTCTGTCTTCTCCTAACAAACTTCCAAATTCACCAGACCCGGCAAGCGGGCAAAGGCAAAGGAGAGTTCGAGTCCCTCACTGTCCTGGGGATTGCTTCCAGAGATGGCGATCGATCCTACCAGCGGCTAACATGTAATGCGGGTTCCACTCTCTTCTTCCTATTGGAACTTCACTTGATCACATTTATTTTTGGCCTTGGAATGAGGAATATGACATGGCAGGTGCACTAAATTCTCTCTGCTGCTTCACCTCCACGCTTCAACGCCCTCCCCCAACCTACTTAAGCTCACGTGATGTGGGATCCTAATAGGGGTTTTCAGGTTGACGCTTTTTCCCCCAAAATCAACTTTGCCACGCCTCTCCATTTTTAGTCAGTTTATTAATATAAACCATTTACGTACAAGTTAAAGTAAAATTATGATATAAGTACACATTCAAGCAAATCAAGAAGGCATGCCAAAAGCTCGCTTGACATACGTAACTATTAAATGACGCCGCAAAACTAATCATCATTTTAGCGATGAAGATAAACATGAAATGAGGGACGTGATTTGATCATGAGATAGAGCTGGTGGTGAAGAATGAGCAAGCAACGAAGAATAGAGAGTTGCACAACGTGTTCCTCGGGCTAGAGTATAAGAGTAAGACGACGTCGCACGCTCCCAAATCTGCGCCGAGCAAACGGATGTGAATCATGAGTTAGGAAAAGGGCCACTTTCTTCACGTAGCTGCAGCGTTTAGATATCATGATAACTGTATTAAATTAATTGCTATTATTGTTACCGATCATGCATGTTCTTTTTCCTGATTTTGCACTCTCCAGTTAGATTCCTCCCTTACCCTTCTCCCTGCATGCCCCTAGTTGATTACTTTCATCTCGTCTTTTGAAATTTGATACATATCTTTTTTCCCCAAAATATAATGGTCGGTCATTTTTTGTTGGAGTAATTTACATTGCTTGTTTTAATTTATTATCATCAACTCTAACAAAAGTAGATATTACCTTGGTTCATATTATTATAAGACACCTCTAGTCATCTCATCAATAACATAAAGAAGGATGATTAAATCATTGATTTTAGTTAAAAATATAATAAATTTCTACTTTTACCAATATTTAAATGGAACGCTTATATATTTGTGTTGCTTTCTCTTTCACACCTAATGACTTTAAATAAGAGTAATATTATAAATCTTGATTAATGTATCATTAAGTAACTTATAAGAAATATAATTCATCTCTTATAAAATGTCTCTTATAAAGTTATAATAAAGACTAGAGTGACAAATAAGGGTTGAGTTTGGCAAAAGAGGGCTAGTTCCTTACAATGTGGCCTGTGAACTAAAGTTTGAATCCCTATATGAAAATGTGCCCATATTTAATGTCCAATCATGCCTTAAATATGATTGTTTTTAATAAAAGTATACCTATATTCTATGAGCAATAGTTAGAAAAAGACTAGAGTGGTACCTCCTCCCAATAGACTAAGCAAAGTGAAAACCTTTCAAATCTCAAAGAATAGTTGTCTTTGCTCACAAAGATTTTTCACTGGCTGCATTTTCTTGAATAATTTCCATATTAACGAATGGAGAAATGATAGTGCATGCCTTGCAATAAGTATCTTCTTCGACGGAAGATTATTTAGGGTTAAGGGGCATTTGCTCAAAAGAGTTATAGGCATCCTTACTTTCTAGAAGAAGTAATATTGTCCAGGAAGTGTTAAAAGCATAGCAATGTCTTCCTTTTCTAAATTTTAATTAACATTGGATTGACAAATTTTTCTTAAATTGAAAAGATGATACAACTATCACCTATGTGACAATCCCTTCTTGTCTATCTCTTCCCCCTCATTGCCACATGCCCTCTCTCTTCTTTCTTTCCCTTATTGCCACATACCTTTCAACTGTTGTCTCCCCTCCATCTTTGATTTTCTAGATTCTTCGAATCAAGGCACTTAATGGGTATGTCAAATCTTTCAACATGATGCTTCAGCTTGCTCAGCTACTTATACTTCTTTAAGTCTTGTGCGTTTAGCTCCTACCCTGTCCTTTCTCTTTCACACTTTCTTAGAAATCTAAGAAGGGACATGATATTTGTCGAGTCTAGTTAAGAGGCTTCTATGCATCACTCCTCATGTTTAGCGTGTATCATCTTTGCATGAGGGATTTTTGCTATCTTTGCTCTAACCCATTTCGGCCAAGACATCAAGTTGTGACCTAAACCCATTATTTATACAAATGTAGCAGCCAAATTTGCTACAATAAGGATTAAAGTTTCTATTCATTGGAAGGATTGCATGCACATTAGGGCCTTCATACCAATATCCATTATCCAGATTCTTTTGTCGGTGAATTATTATAAGATTTTTTTGATGATGTATTTGATGGCGCCAGAACTAGTTTTTGTCGATATGCTATACTAGGTTTCAATTTTGATGATTCGATGGTGGTTAAACATTTTCTAACTTTGGGCTTCCCTTTATTATGATTTCTAATGATTTTTTAGGTCAAAAGGTCAATTGGTTTTGTTATGGCTGTAGCATTCACAGCCAAAGCATATGACTCTTATTCTCAACGTTACATAGACTATCTTAAATCAATTTCTTAGGGACAAGCTTCATTATGAGATCACCAAAAAATTAATATAGGTGGAAATTTCAATGGTCAAACTATAAATCACTAAATTAGAGTTGTACTTAACCATGTTAATCATAATCTACCATGGTAATTAGAAAATAACATCCAAAGTAACCAACCATTATAGTCATAAAAAGAATGAACCATATTGAGAAGAAAAAGACTCAATTCAAAGGGTTTACTATGGTTATTAGAATAGTACTTAATAAGTTAATTCATATATCATTTGGATATAAAAGTACCTACTATAATAGAGTATATTCTACCAAGGTAGAACCGTTTAAAACTAGATAACAATGCTCTAGCACACTAGAAAATTTTGAAAACCATATTTGATAATGTAAAACCATTTTATTCAATGGGATCCCAAGTTTAAGTATCACTAAAATAATCCCAAGCCCAAAAATCAAGTAAATATTAAAGTTCACAAATATTTGAAAGCATAACATGTCAATTATAGACAAAAATATTTGAAAAATAGGATTTTAAAAGCCAAACTTGTAACAAAAGAAGTTGCCCAACAATATGATGTGTCATGTGCCATGGCCTAGGCAGCATCCGCCACAACACATTACATAGTTTCACACAGCATGTGCTTTAAATCTTTGTTCAACATTTAATTGAGGTGATCTATGTGTTAATAAGAAGTTTATTGAATCAACCAGTTAATAATACTAGTTTTATTTTCAAATAATTTAAAATCAAAAAGTTAGATACTCAAAACTACAATAACCACATTTTCAAACTTTCAACATTCCAGGATATCCAAAACCCAACCAAAGTGCTAAAAGCCTAACATTATTCTTATACTACACAAAAGGGATTTAGGATAATTTGTATAATGCACCACGTTAATCAAATTCATCATAAAACTTAATTTCAACCCTTAAGCCCGTATTTCATCAAAATCACAAGAGGGAGATTTTTATTCATTTTTCAAAAGTAAATATCCATCTTCAACAAAATTACCACATCTACACTTGTACCAGTATATTAGACCC